GTGACATTTAATTTGTGTTGAAACTTTAACACTTCTAAGGGAGTAGTTAAACTATAGCAAATAAACTTAATTTGATTTCTTTTTTTTGTACCATTTAAAATCGGGAATAAATTTACTTTTAGAATGATTAAAAAAATGTTTTTAAGAATTTTTTTTCTTCTGAAATAACCTGACAAAGCTTACCTTTAAAAATGAATGCTTTGTTCGGTAAAGGTCTAGTGTCTTCTTCAATGTCAACGATATAAAATTAATTCAATTTTATTAATTTGTTTGGTCACCACCAACATAAAAAAAAAAAAAAAATCAAACTATAATTCTTTGGTAATATAAATAAAGCATTGTTATTTGCTATGCGCACAACTAAATAAATTTATTTTTACCTTATCAAATATTTTAACATTGTTGTAATCAAAATCTCATTTTTTTTTTTTTTGTCTTTTGTCTTCAGGCACCCCTTTTATCTTGGTGCTCGGGGCACGTATGTCCTTTGCCCCTCTCTTTTTGGGGTCCTGGATATATTAGATCATTTCCTCATTTTCCTAACAATTAACTCAATTCCATCACCAAATATAAATAAAAGCTATACAATAAAAAAACATAATACAAAAAATTATTCAGAAATGTTTAACCATCAATTACTATTATTAAACTGAAAACAAATAAACCTTAATGATTATATCAACGTAATCTATAATGAATTTTTATTTAATTAATATATTTTACTTAATGTACAATGCAAATTTACCATTTTATGAAAAAAATTGTATAACCAAACACATTAAATAGTATTTGCAGTACTGAAGGACTTAAAAAAATCTGCAAAAATTAAACAAAAACTATATATAAAATACTTAAAAACAAAATTCAGTTCAAATCTACAAATATACAAATGCTACAAACTTTTATTTTAAAAGTTCGCAAAAATTAAAAAAAAAGTTATTAATCTAATTATTAAATTCAACAATGACACAAAATATTTATGAAAAATAATATAAGTAAAACAAAAAACCTGCTTAAATATCCTACCAAAAATGATTAAAATAAACAAATAATGTATATGTGAACCAAAAAAGTAGGAAATTAATTTAACAAATATTTTACTGGTATAGGAAGTAACCATGCTAATCGGATTCCTTGTACTAATATTTATTTCATTTTTTTTTTAAACTTATCTATATATAATTAACTTTACACCATAATTTACAGCTAGATTTATCATTTGAAGAATTTGAAAGAGCCTTCATATTTCTAAAACGAAGAAAGGCAATCGGGGCCGAGGGAATAAACACAAACATAATTAGAGATTGCTATGAAAATTTGAATGATGTTTTTTGTAAAGTCTTCAAAGCATCTATACAACAAGGGGCTTTTACAACCGACTAAAAAATTATATAGCTATCCCAATTCACTAAAACGATGAAAAATCAAATGTTAGTGGCTTTTGCCCTATTTCTGTCCTCTCTAAAAATTTTGGAAAAAATTATATACGAAAAGACACACAATTTCCTGATTACGAATAACTTACTTAATAAAAACCAACTCGGATATAATAAAAATAGCTCAACTGAACAAACTATTTTACATCTTACACGTGAAATTTGAAAGTCTTTTCGTTAACCGCTTTTGATGTATTGATAAAAACACCGAATGTATATACATTCGGTGTTTTTATTAATATATCAAAGGTTTTTGAGACAATCAATCACCATATAATTTTTTCTTAAAAAAATAATTCTGTTTAGGTCCTCAACCAAAAAAAGATCTTTTACCAAAGATTTGCAAAGAAAGTTTTATTTATTAAGTTTCTTGGTATTATATTTCTTAATAAATTGGTATTATAAATCTTAATAAATATCGGTCATGAAATTTATTTTTACAATGGATAATATATCAAAATATTTTTGAAATATTATTTTTAACCAGTTGTTATTTCAACTTTTTAAATTGGTATTTCAATTTTGACTACTTGTTTCATGTTGAATTTATATTTCAATTTTTATATGGTTTTGGCAACAAGATCAGTATGATATTCTTTCAGATGCCAAGTATATACTATGCAACATGTAAAGAATGTGAACTAAAAAATAATAACAAGTTTGCCTATATTATTGACTCTTTTAGGGATTCTCCTAATGATTATTGACACTCTGTTAAAGATTCTCCTAAATATTATTGACACTCTGTTAAAGACTCTATTAAAGATTCTCCTTTACTATTGACACTGTTAAAGATGAACTCTAAAGTCTTCAGAAGCAATATAAGATTTTGTGACCTGAGAATAACGGTTAGACAAAAAAAAAGTTTTTACACTGGTGTTTAGCAAACGAACATCTATTATCTGAAGAATTGTTTTGAATATAGATTTGAAATAGCTAGTTAGAATTAAATTATGCAGGAACACAAAAAGAGTAAAACCATAGAGAAGAGTGAGACTACTTGGAACTGTCAAAAGGGAACAAAAGATTCCATGCTTTCCTGAATCCAAAAAGATAAATAAGAAGCACATTTGTCAGCAGAAAGACGAAACTTTTCTACCCAAGTCTACCCAAGAAAGAGAATAAGATAATAATTGAAAGAAATCAAACGGTGATCAGAAGCACCCAAGGGTGAATGTGGAGAAACTGAGCACTGACTAGGATATTAAAAAAAAACATAAGTAGATTAATAATTCGGATTGTCTGGAAACCGAATTGGAAAGTTGAATATTTGTGTTCGAGAAAAAGGCAAAAGTTATGGGCCTTAACACTTGCAGAGTCACTGACACTAGAATTAAGCCATTCAGTATGATGAACATTAAAGATTAAAGTCACAAACAACAACGATATTGGCTGAAAGATAAATATAAAGGGCTTAAACCAGCTTGATAAGAAATAATATCAAAAAGAATGCAGTATTAAGGTAAAAGAGAGCAATATAGAAAAAATAGAAAGATTGAAGAATGAAGTGGTGCTAAACAAAAGCACATAAGAGAATATGCCCTTTTATAAACATATCAGCATTAACACTTTTAACTGTTTTTTATGTAACTAGAAATGCTTAATTTTATTCAAAAAAATTTTTTTTTAGGTCTTATATTATACTTGACAAGCACTTCAATTAGTGAACAAACTTTTATTTATTTCTAAAAATTGAATTAAACTAAATTAATTCATAAATGATGCAATTTTGTTACATGGAAAACACTATATAGTGACAATGAGCTGATGATTGAGCTGTTTTAATTAAACGATAACTTGATGCTTGCTTTAATAATAAAAAAATAATGCTATAACTTCGCATATAGCAAATTTTTTTTCTCAACACAAAAATGATTCAAAACAGAGATTAAAGATCTATATATTTTCTCAGATTTTCTTAAATTATTAACAATAACGAGACATAAATAAAATGTGTACAAGCAAAGGGTAAGAATGAACAGGCAAAGTGTAAGAATGAACTGCTGAAATACGGTCAGGGACTAAATAAATCAACTAATTTAAGGGAAACATTCAAAGAGTGGTCCGACATTGAGGTCTGGGTCCGGGATAGGGTTTAAAATACAAGATTTTTGTTTCACTATATTCCCGCATTTTACAAATTGAAAATCTTCACATTTTACAAGTTTCCGTATTAACATATTGTGATATAAGTTGATCACTCACAAATATAAATGCATTACTTATGCTACATAAGATTACTTGTTAGCGTAGCAACTGCAAAAAGATCTTTTAGTTTATTAGAAAGAATTAAAGCTATTGAAGTAGAATTAGGAGCTTAATTAAATTTAAAAGTTATTAGACCATTTTCCGGCTATAAAAGCAAAAAACTTTTGTTATACGTTTATCATATCACATTTAAATACTGTAAAACACTGGTTTATAAATCAAAATTGTGTTTAGCAATAATGTTTCGTTTTTATTTGCAATTTTTAGTCAAGGAAGTAGGCAAAGGTGGAAAGGGGAGGTGTGCAAGAGAAACAAGTGTAAACGTTACATAGTTTTAATTTATACTGTTTTGATTTCTAATGAAGTTTTCATTGACATTTTTTTCATCTTATGTTTCCATTTAATTTTGAAACTTGGGGGCTTTTTTGGGAAAAAAAAAATATTTTTAGAAAAATTGTTTGGTACTTTTGAACCCTAAATGATTAGCTAATAAATAATTTTTCACAATGTTATTATTAAAATAAAAGGTCTAAAATTATCTGATAAAAATGAGGTAAAAACATTTATTATATGAATATAATGTTGCTTGTGACAATTCCAGACTCCCATTATGCAGTATTTTTAATATAGCTAACTTATTAAAATATATATCTCAATATAACTTACTTATTACGTTGTTTATTAGGCACATTTGCTTCTTCTGACTATAATAATTAATAACTCCGTCTGCAGCAGACAGTATTGATATTACATCACAGATTTCTATTTTTTACCAACCTTTATTTATATACCAAACCTAATTCGTAATTTGTGATGAATATAATAAATATAAAGCTATGATAAGCAGTTTTAAAACTTTTATTTTTATACCTATGGCTGTTTTTTTTTTTGTTTTTTTGCTTTTTCTTGAGTTGAGTTATTGATTTATCACTCACAAAGATTGAATTAATTTAATTAATTTCATAAGTCCCAATAATCAAAAGTAACTGAAAAAAAAAAGTAATAATAATAAAAATACATAAAAAATAACTAAAAAACAAATAAATAAAAATCATAGTTTAACTATTTTTTCTGTTTCTCGATTTTTTCATTAAATACACAAAAAAAATCTTTTAACTTTATGTATTATTTATTTTTTTTCCAAGTTGTTAATAATTATTTTTTTTATATTTTACTTCATGTAAAAAATTTTAGTTTTTTTTTTTTACCCTTGAAAACATTGTTTTAAATTCAGCACTTCACTTTAAATAAACAGTTTTCTCAACTTGTTTTAGGTTGTATAAAGATTTTTAGTTTTAAAACTTTTTTTTGATCCTATTTTTTTAATTTGTGATTTTCATTTACTTTTAGAAACTTTTGTATTTAAAGAGCAAATTGAAATTTTAAAAGGCAAGTATCTTGCAACAGTAACATTTCCTATAGAATATGAAATATCTTTTGAAATTTATTTAACTTCAAATTTACAAGTGTGGACTAATGTAATTCATTTTACAAACTCAAATGACTGTTGCCTTTACGGATCCAGAGTTCCAAGTGTATTTGTTAATCCTAACCAAAACACTGCACTAATTTGCTCATCAGTAAACAGAAATGGTAATTATTGTGTTGTTACGGAACCATTACCATTGATGGAATGGAATAAGATAATGGTAAAGCAGTTCTTGAGTAATGGTGATTACTATTATTCTGTCTTAATTAATGATGAGACCATTCATTCTGTAAAAAACACAAAGGTAAGCTTTTTTGATAACGTCCAAGTTTTTATCAGCGATCCATGGAAAGTTGCACAACCAGGATACATAAGAAACTTGCACGTACCAAGTACGAAATTTTTTCGTTTTATGTTTTTAATTTTATTTTTTTATGTTTATTTTTATGATAAAAATGCTTTTTAAATTAAAAAAAAACAAAAAAAACATACGATAAGGTAATTTTTACAGTGTTTTTTTTTTTTTTTTTTTTTTTTTGAGATTGTAGACCACCAATAAACTCAAATCATTCACAAATTGCATTATAAAAACTATGGTTATAGATTTTTTAAGACTCACTTAATACTCATAAAGTTGAAATAAGATAAAAAGCTTAACAATTTGAAATAATTTTGACAAGATCTCGAAAACTACCGTTGCTATTAACTTGAAATTTTCTAATCTTTCAAAAACTCCAATCTTTAAGGTGTCAAGGTTAAAAATGGCTATTTTTGGTAAAATTTTTAAAAATACTCAAATGAATATTTTGAATTTTGAAATCTGTTTATTTCAATAAGCGTTTTGAAAATAGTCGAAAATCTTAGTTATTATAATCAAGTTTGCCCGTTAAAACCTTAGGAACGATCTTAGCAACGCTTTTTCTCCAATATCTGCTATAACAAAAATGGAATTGACTTCAAATTTTTGCTAAACAATGCTCAAGACATTTGACTTCTACATAAATATCATATACACTTTGACCTGTACGTTTATTTTCATGTTTCGGTTACCATATAATTACAATATATTACTTTTAAAAACCTGTTTGCAACTTTTTTTTTCTCGCTAAATCTTAATTTTTCAGAAAAAATAACTTTTCATAGAAAATAGATAATAGGCTGAAATTTTGCAGGTTTAAAGGTGAACATATTAGAAATGTTGCCTATGAAGCAAAATTTTTGAATTTTTTTTTTTAAACTCTTTTTTATCATGTTTCGATCCCAATCTTCGCTATATTTTTATATCTTAAAGTTGGAATGTCAACCTGGTAAAATTAAAAATATTTAAAAAAGTTCTGTTTCATAGACAACATTTTAAATACATTAAATAAATCATGTTCAAATTTTCAAACATTTTTGACAATTTTTGAGTTAGTTATATTAGATAAGAGAATAAGCTGTTTTGGGAGTAAAATAACACTAATTATGAGCATAAGTAATGACGCGATTACAAAAAAAAAAAAATTTTGTACTGATTTATATTTTTTTGTTCATTATAAAAAAGAGTTAAAGTTTTCAACTTTTTTATTAAAAAAGTTGCCTTAACCCTGGTACCACCATAACATAATGAAGTTTCTATATCAAAATATTCAGTATATTGATAGATCCAGTTAAAAACAGATCCTGTTAAAACAGATCCTGTTAAAACAGATCCTGCTAAAACAGATCCTGTTAAAACAGATCCTGTTAAAACAGATCCTGTTAAAACAGATCCTGTTAAAACAGATCCTGTTAAAACAGATCCTGTTAAAACAGATCCTGTTAAAACAGATCCTGTTAAAACAGATCCTGTTAAAACAGATCCTGTTAAAACAGATCCTGTTAAAACAGATCCTGTTAAAACAGATCCTGTTAAAACAGATCCTGTTAAAACAGATCCTGTTAAAACAGATCCTGTTAAAACAGATCCTGTTAAAACAGATCCTGTTAAAACAGATCCTGTTAAAACAGATCCTGTTAAAACAGATCCTGTTAAAACAGATCCTGTTAAAACAGATCCTGTTTAAACAGATCCTGTTAAAACAATTTATAAACAAAACAAAAGTAAAATAAAAGTTTATTTTTTTTTAATTAGAAAATCATTTTAGAGATAAAAAAAATAACGTGTTTTTTTCAACATGTTTAGGTGAATTTGGAAATTCTTTTTGTCGGATTATCACAATTTTATAAAAATAATAGACAAAACATCCGGAACAACATAAGAAACAGTTTTAAAAAATTTAACGAAATAATTTGATAAAATTAAAGTCATTTACCGCAAGGATTGTAATTCCGGAGGTCTTTCTCTATCCCGGAAGTGTGAGATTGAAAAATGTTATTCCCAGGATTGATCTCGGGATTGAAAAATTGTTATAACATGAACATATTAATAAATAGAATAAAAAAAGTGCGTTTTTCACCTAAAATATTTTTATTAAATGAAAGCAGTTAACATTACATTGTTGCATGCATGAGAGATAAATATATTAATTTAAAATGTAATTAATGTTGAGAAATTATGTTAGAAATAACATAACTTGCTTTGGAATGCGACTTAAAAAAGCACAACACCTCCTTAGTCTCATCGTCCTAACGGTTACGAATTTTTAAATTAAACATCCTAGCGAAAGATAATGAACGCTCAGCCTTAACATTTGGCAACGTCGCGGCCATTCGAATTAAACAAGCTCTTTCCAAATAACTGTCACGAGTGCCACCATTTTCAAATATTTTCATTTATTTTTAAATTTATTGACAACAATTTATTAATAACAATGATAAAATTTAAATTTATTGATAACAATTAAATTTATTGATAACAATTGAAACAAAAAAAAAAATAATAATAATAAACGATTTAGAGATAAAATGTATTATGCCTAACGGGTTGCATCGGTGGTTGTTCTTCTTTAACAACATGATCATGCCAGCCAGGAAGCAACCAACTTTTTTCTATTTGCTCCGTCGGTCTTTTAAGCCACAATGTTGCTGTAGATCAAGAGTAAATGTTTTTTTTAATAGTTCAAAGCACTTTTCTGCTAGCATTATACCTGTTATTCACACTGAACCCAAACTTTGTGTATGAACGTTAATATTCATATAGCAACAACATCGGAATGATGTCCTTTCGTTAAAAGACAAAAAAATTCTTCTCTGGATTCCGTTTTCACTTCAATAAACTGAACAAAGTCTCATTTTTTTACTCTACTCTTATAGATGATTACAAAATATGTTTACTAACGTTGGTATATTTCTGATTCTCAAAGCAGTTAAAGTGACTTGTAAATCTGTTGAAGAACAAATTACATTAAGTGAAAAGCCCGTCAGACACCATTAAGCAAACAAATTTATTTTAAAGTCTTTTTATATTTTTTTTGGTGACTTATTTGATTTGCCTTCTTTGGTAATACTAGGTTGGGTTGGACCTTCACATTATGCACAAACAACATGTATATATGAACTCCTTTTGTTAAACACCCTCTAATTTCTAAAATGTTTCTGCAGTTTGTCAATATACACATCTCACCTTTTTAATCCCGTTGAAAATATTTTCAAACAACATAAAATAGGATTTTATAATTGTATAAATTAAAAAATGATGCAAAGTGCGGGTATCGCAAGTACCGCAAACATGTTATAAAAACATTATTTACTGCTAATTTAAGTATATTAAGTTTTTAAGTTGTGTATATGCTAACTTACGTGATATATTGTGAGGTTTTCAGACCTTTCAATATAGGGTTATACCAAAAGTTAAAGAAAAACTATCTGGTTTACACCGTCATTGTCAGAGCCTATATGACTTCTTATTTGAAAAAAAAAAAAAGGAAATAATTTAACCTAAGTATATTAGCACACTTTTGTAAAATAATATTTTTGAGATAATTTTGAGAAAATTGAAAACAACAAACCATTTAAAACTTATAAAGTAAATTTTCTAAATTAAACAAACCTGGAACCCCAAGAACTAAAGTAAAACCTTTTTTTAAAATATAAATAAATCATCAATTTTTTATTTGAAAATCTTTTCGACAGTTACTCAAATAAAAAATGAAAATAATTAAATTTTTGTTAAATGATCACTCAAAACATACCTGTCATTTTAACATGAAATTTTGAACACATTTTAAACATTGTATTTAAAATCATTTAAAAAAAAAAAATGAGAATGGTGAGGACAAAAGATTATTTTAGAAATGGCGCATGTAAAAGTTTTAACACTTTAGGATTGTCAAACATGAGTATGATTAAATTTCAAAAACTAAATGAATTTTATTGCAATAAAAAACAAAACAACATAAGAATGAAGTAGCACAATCATTTAATCTAATCTAAGCATACCGATCAGAAAAAGTTGAGTCTCATATAAGCAAAATGGCAGTATCTAATATTACAAATGGTTCAGCAACATAATCCGCAAGATCAATAGCTGGTAAAATCAATCGACCATGAGAAATATTTTCTAAATATTGTCATTGTAGCTCACTAGATTCAGCTAATAGAAAAGTTTTTCAAACACCATATTTGATCTTTTTATTAAACAACATAACCAGAAATAATGGCAACAAATTCAAAGCTCTCTGAATCTAAACTGCATTCATCAATATCTGGTAAAATTTCTTGCAATTTATCTTCTAATAATTTAAGTAAAGATTCTCTTTTTTAACATCTTTCTCCCAAATTAATTTATTTCTTTGAATTTTCATGTCACATTTTTTATACAATATTATACCCAGAGATCTCAGTCAGCCATTTGATATCATAATTATATCATATTGATCTCATACTGTTAGATCTATGATATCATAGCATGATACGTTTATGAGGTCATTATGATATCAAAATGAAATCACACAGTTATATTAATTTGAGCTCAAATTTGATATCATAATATGAGAACCTTATGATATCAAAAGTTGATATCATCCTGTACTCAGAATGAGATGTCATATTTTGAGAAGTTCATGATATCATGATTATGTCAAAATGAAATCACACATTGATGTCACCTTGACCTTAAAATTTGATATTCTCATGAGAAATAAATTGTCTTTTTTGTACTATATATTTTTATACTTTTTTATTCAAATCCTCCAACACCACTGTATATATAAAATATTTTAGCACCTTCATATATATATATATATATATATATATATATATATATATATATATATATATATATATATATATATATATATATATATATATATATATATATATATATATATATATATATATATATATATATATATATATATATATATACATATATATATATATATATATATATATATATATATATATATATATATATATATATATATATATATATATATATATATATATATATATATATATATATATATATATATATATATATATAAAAGCAACGGAATCATAAGAAAATTGGAGGAGAACTTAAGTAGACCATTATAGTGGTTAGTATGCCTTCTACACTGTAACGAGCTGCTATTTAGAAGGTTTTTAACAGGCGTGGATTTGGCTCGAACTACAGGACCTTCCACATCAACAGGTACAGTTAGCTCAGCTGTAGAATATGATCCGAATGAGTTGCCTGTCGTTAATTATTTGCCAATTATTGGTAAGGTGACTGATTGTGATAAAGCTGTCAAGAAGGTTCTTAGCACAGACCAACTGTACTTTTTGAAAGCATTTCTAGCATTACAGCGTGGACGTCAGGCTTCTACAGATATTGATTTTATAACTGAAATTCAACTTTTTGATTAGTTTTCTCAAAATATATATGTTTCCAAAACCTTGTTCCTACGTCAGCACATTGTATCTAGGGATCGATTTTGTATAAACCAAATAATGAACAATCAAAAGTTTTTAGTAAAACACATAAGTATTGATATATATTTAATAAAATACGTTTATTATCAGAACTTAACACCTTTATTATTAGTGTTTAATTATTTAATATATATTTATATTATTACACGTAAAACAATGTTTTACGTGTAATAATATAAATTAAAATGGTTATAATTATCAAACTAAAAAACCACCTTAATTTCCAAAAATAATAATTTAGATTATAAAGTACACTCCATACACAGAGTTCATGGCAGTTTTAATAGGCCATTTTCTCTGATTTTCATCTATTTTCAATTATTTTTTTCCTGAGATTGTGCAGTGAAATAAATATATTTTTCCTGTCAACGTTAAAAGATACTCCCGCAACTGAATTCATGTTTCCTAAACATATGCTTACTCTAGTAATCCATGTTCCCTAAACTTATAGTTACTATATAAAATTAATGCAGTTAGTAACTTTTAATATTAATTAATATTCAAAAATTTAATATTGCAAAATAAGTTATTAGAGATAATAACATTTCAGACACTATAAAAACACAAGCATTCACTGAATAAAAATAAACTGTAATTGTCAACTTAAAAGATAAGAAAATAAAAAAATTAAATAAATATAAATTTTAACTAAATAAAAAAAAATGGATATAAAGATAAACAACAAAGCTAAAGTATTGAACATAAAATTTAAGTTAAAACTGTGCAGATCACTTAAAAGTTATATTATTGCTTATGTACAAGTAATAATACAACTGAGGATGTGAAATTATCAGGTTCAAAATATGCTAGTGGTATTCGTATCACTTTTGATTGAAATTCATCGTTAGATAGAAACATCATAACTTTACCACAATATTGCACTCGATGGATAGCAAAGTTTGTTGATTTACAAGGAGAAGTAAAAATTTTTTTATTTTTTGAGTAGACTCATCCAAGAATTATTAGATTCTCTAATTGCACTGTGTCAATGAAGATAAATTTTTCATATTTAAGTAAATAGCATTCATTTTTGATAGAAGAATTACTTTTTTAAACAACGTATCTTTCGGCTGCAGAAGCTAAATGGTTCAGATAGAGAAAGTTATATGTAAGTAAATGATCCAAGCAGTAAACACTTGCGTTGTTTACAAAACAATACAGCAGCGAATGAGAATAATCTTTATACAATATCATTAGCTAAATGTCAATATTTTTTTACCAATTCTGAATAGAATACATGCTGATAGAATCCTTTAACAATATTTAAATTTTAAAATACCTAATATAATCAAAACAATCCAGTAAAATCAAGTAACGCTAACCTGAAATTTGTCAACCTTTTGATATTTTTGTTTGATCTTTCATTTTGTTTGTTGTTTAATTATTTTATTTTGAGATTGTTAAATTTCAAAACCTTGCACCTCATCTTCGAAATAAAATGATGTTACCAAATTTTGATCCTTCTTTTACTCTTCCTGTATTTAAAACTAATTTTCAAAATATTTTCTTTATGAACAGCATTCTAAAATTCTACTGAAAACGTATGTAAAATGTAATTGTTAAGTCTTCAGTATATTATATATTAATATGTTTGTATTTTGCATTTTTGCATAATGTTAAAGCTTCAATATATTTAAGTATTACATATAAATGTGTTTAACTTTTAAGATTCTGATGATATGATCCTTATGATCTTCTTTTCGAAATTTAACTTTATGTTGTTAGTAGGCTGAATTGTTTATTTTTTTCAAATACTTTTATGTTATTTTTTATCTCAACTATTATTGTAAACTAAAAAATAAATAATAAAATAACAATATTAAATTTTTCTTGAGGCTCTAATTACGGGTTGATGTTTTTTTAATTTGGGACTCCAACAAACTAGCCACGGAACTGCCCGGCATAATGCCAAACTATTAATACTTAATGATAAATAAAAACTTTTAACAATCTTTAAACAAAAAGTTACTGAGCTAAACTTAATAAAGAATTTTTTTCAAATTTGACCTTTCTATATTGGGGTGCCACCAACTCTGCAAATATTGATTTAGTGGATTTGCAGTCGACCTTTATAGACATTTTTTAACGGCTCATTAGAGTTTTGCTTTCGGTTACAAAATGGACCATAGCAGCCATTTTGTAACCGATGAGCATTTTTTAACAATAGAAAATAAATTTTGCTATTGTTAAAAAATACATTTTAAAAAATAATTTAAAAAGTATTTTTTAACAATAGCAAAGTTTATTTTTACTTACTATGTATGTAAAAATAAACATGTGCAAAACTTGAAGCAACTAATTATTTTTATTATGTTTTCATAATTTTACAATGTTTTTATAATTTTATAACGAGTGTTTTCTAACTTTTACTTAAGTACTTAAAGCCGGCACCTACTCGTTTTACAGAGACTTAAGCGACGATGCCACCTTGTCAATGTCGGATGTCATTAAAAAGGCTTGGACTCTTATTATTGGAGGTATCTTTTTAGTTTAATTAAAAATTAATTTTTTTTTTATACATACTTGTTTTTGACAGTATCTTTCCTGTTTCTTTTGACTTTTTGACTTTGATTTAATATTTGTCATCAATTTTAAAACCAAAATGATGTGGATTATCTTTAAAGTTTCTGCGTAAAGTAAACCTTAGTTAGTAAGTACATGTTACTAAACCTTAGTTAGTAAGTACATGACTCAAACAACAGCAGTTTTAAAACTAAGCATGCTAACCACATGGCCACACAGCCGTGTTTTCTGACTTTCATTTTAGAACTGTTTAACAAAAGCAAGATAAATGCAATAAATCAAAATTATGGAGATATTGCCGCAATGCATTTTTCAAGTAAAAGATAAACTGTAAAACTTATTAAATGTTTGAAAATTCAAAATTTAAAGTGTACATAAGCTAGATATTTGGATACACTTTGGTTTACATTTTATATTAAAAAAGCGCTGCAATTTTGTCTCGCCAATAACTCGGTTTCAATGGCTGCCAAGAGTTTTTTGTCAGACATGCTCGAATATGGAACTACTACTGTTTTTTCAGCATTTATATATATTTACACTTTTCTATTATTTTTTAAATGTTTAAAAGAATTTTAGTCCATGAAGAACAAAATGTTTATAATATATTGATGAAGTGGTTTAGCACCAGGCACCTCCACGCTGACAAATATTGGACACACAATGTGTCTATACTTTTACTACAACAGCGTCAAATCGACTTTTGAATGCGTGAGTTGAATGCGTGAGTTAAAAACGTTTGATGGTAAAGAATTCCATGTGTTGACTAAGCGATTTGTAAAGAACTTTTCTCGTTCGACACAGCTCCTAGCTAATGGCTATGTAACCTTTAGTTTTGCCACGAAGATTATACTAGGAAAACGTCTGCTTGTAGACTTGAGGCTCAACAAATTCAATTTCCTCAACACCATGCACAATCTTATATTGCCAAATTAAATCATTTCTAACTAGTCTACCTTCTAGTTTGATTAGGTCTAGAATTGTAAGCCTTTCTTCATATGATTTTTTTTAATGTCTGTGATAAGCTTCGTTACACGCTTTTAAATGCTTTCGAGAAGCATAAAGTATATATATATATATATATATATATATATATATATATATATATATATATATATATATATATATATATATATATATATATATATATATATATATATATATATATATATATATATATATATATATATATATATATATATATATATATGTATATATATATATATATATATATATATATATATATATATATGTTTATATATATATATATATATATATATACTATATATATATATATATATATATATATATATATATATATATATATATATATATATATATATATATATATATATATGTATATGTATATATATATATATGTATATATATATATATATATATATATATATATATATATATATATATATATATATATATATATATATATATATATATATATATATATATATATATATATATATATATATATATATATATGTATATATATATATATATATATATGTATATATATATATATATGTTTATATATATATATATATATATATATGTATATATATATATATATATATATATATATAGATATATATATATATATATATATATATATATATATATATATATATATATATATATATATATATATATATATATATATATATATATATATATATATATATATATATATTATATATATATTATATATATATACTTAGCGAACTTTCTATAGTTCCCTATAGTTCAAGGTTTTATGAGGAACGCATATAAAAAAATAACTAAAAAAAATTTCTTTATTAGACCTATTGCATTTAAAAAAAAAAAAAAAAAGGAAAAAACTTTGCATAATGTATTAATTTTACTAGAGATATTACATTTAACATAAACTAGAGATATCACATTTAACATTTTTTTGTTTCAAGGATGCTTTTACGGTATTTTCGAGTGTATGAGATCTGATTCTTCTGAGCCAGGATAGACTCTTTTTTGTGGGCGAACATTTTTTTTATTTGCGCTTTAATATTGAAGGTCCAAGGTCTGCACGATTGTTATTAAATGACTCATGAATGCTTTGGAGTTAAGACTTAGATCAACAAATGATTGATCCTGCAGTGGAGGCGATTAATAAGAGGTTCTTTATCACAAGGAAAAATTCCACACTTAGCAAAACCTGACATCAAGTTTTTACTATAAGTGTCTTTTATTAGTTCCAGCACTTTTTTTAAAAGTGATGGAAAGTGTCCTTTTGGTAGTGCTGTAGATTTTTTTTTGTGCAGGTGATTCTTTCCACAAAGTCAAAATAATTTTCCACTTATTTTTTAGTGGTCGAATATAGGCAATATCTAGAGGTTGTGTCAAATGCGATGAATTTTGCGATGAGTTATGTGGTATACAAACAAATACTAAGTTATTTTTTTTTACAAAGTTTTGTAACATTCTGACTGATGTGTGATTTTTATCCGAAATTATCTCTGATAAGAACTTTTTTTCCGGTCTGTTTTTTTCAGTATAGGAAACGGGTGACCAGTAAACCACTCCTCAAAGTAAAACACTATCTAACCAATCATGTTCTGTGCGATTGTATTAGTTCCATGTGAACCGTTTTCAGTCTAAGTGGACCACAGATTTTCTGATTTGTAGACAATATAAGGTGTTATTGAATGTCCAGCAGCATTGCCACAAAACATGACCGAAATATTGGACTTTAATGAGTTTATTACTGTTTCAGGGTATTGACAGCCTCTACGACATATAATTAGTTTGCGTCCTGAGTCATCACTAAGGTTGTTTTATTATAGTTCTATATATTTTCTGCTGGTACATTTGTAACAACTTTGGTGAGGTTTTCAATATACGCATATAAGGTTTTTTTTATTAATAGCAGCCTGAAAGCGTTTTATATTGGCTGTTAAACGCAAAGTAAACATAGGATGTCTTTTAAAAAACATTTTACTCCACTCTACTCATTGAAAAGTGGTTTTAAACTGTGGAATTGTTTTATTTTTCGAAGTGAGGTAATCCTTCACAAATCACCTAAAATCCAGTTCATTCACAGGGAATTGAAACTCAAACACTGCTAAGATGTGAGCAACAAAAGCTGATTCGAAGCAATAAATGTTGTAGGATGTCCTGGGTTTTGATTGTGTTTTAGCTTTAGTTTACTTTTTATGGTAGTTCTACATATGCAAAAACGATTTGATACTTCTCTCTGGCTCATTCGACCTTCATTAATAGCAAAAAAGGCACTGTTGGAGCTTTTTTAGAGAATAATCGACATAATTTTTGGAGCCCGGTCTTCTAGTATACATTTTTGGCATTTTTATTATATAGAATATAAATCAATCTATATATTTTACAATTAAAATAATACTGTTTACAACATAGTGATATTAACACAATACTTTTTTTATAAAGGGAAAATGCTGAGAAACCAATTTGAAGAGACTATAAAAAGCGACTTTTGTGAGGGGACAGTGCAAGTAGTACAACACCAATTAAGATAATAATATAATAAATAATATTATTAAAAAAATGACTAAAAACAAACAACAAAGAAATAAACAAAAATAAAATCATTAACATGTAATCATTATATATATAATATTATATCTATTAATAACTTTAATTTATCATATTTGTTATAATAACAATGATGATATTAACAATAATAGCATTAATAACAATGGCAATAATAAATATAATTAGGAAATAAATCATAGCACCTAAGCAAATAAACAAAAAGTATATCCATTTAATATAAATAAATTATTTTGAACACTTAATAAGAGTTAATTAAAGTTTTGGTGAAATTTTTTGATTTGTTTGCTTTATATCGAAGTTTTGTGTATTTTTGATTGAGATTTGTTATTTAATTATTACAATGCCATGCGGAAAGGTATTAAATAAGAAAAAAAAACAAAAATTATTGCTTACAAAAATATGGGTGTGTCCAATCGTCAAACTGCAAAGAAAATCAAAATGCCTCATCATAGAGTGAACAATTTTATAAACTTAGGTTAAAATTACAACAAAAATCTTTTTAAGGGCGGAAATAAAATAACATCCAAAACGCAACATTATTTCATTTTACGTTAGACGTCATTTGGAGTACGAACAAAAGACAAATACGATCTGATCTAGAATTACTTGTGACTGCAAGATTTTCAAACAAATTTTATAAAAATCAGGACGATTCCAATAAAAAAGAATGATCACAAAACCACTATTGACAAAAAAACATAAAAGTACAAGATTTAAGTTTGCAAAAGACCACATAACACGAAATGCAGAATAGGAAAATCCTATTTTTTTCCGACTATAAAAAATTTTTACTTAGATGGGCCTATGAGTTGTAACTTCAGATGGGAGACAGTTATGATGTGGGCCGTCTTTTGTTTTCACGGCGAAATCCTAATATGTTTTATTACAACAAAAATGAATGCAAGAAATTACGTAGATCTTTTAGAAGATGTTTTAGTAGAGTTTAGTGAAGGTTTTACCTTCTGAGAACTGGATTTTCCGACAAGATAATGCGCAACTCACACGGCACTCAGTGTAAAAAAATAGTTTCCAAAACATTTATACTTTTTTCCATTTTTTAACTTAGTATTAAAAAATGGAATAAAGTATAAATGGTTTTGATTAGCCATCATGTTCACCTGACTTGAACTCTATTAAAAATTTATGCGCAATATTGGGGCTAACTATATATAGAAATTGTCTACAGTATAAAACAATACAAGTACTTAAAACATCTATCCAACAAGCAAGGAATAATATTTCAAAGGTTTGTTTGAAAAATTTTATAAAAAGTTTGAAAAACCGAATCTTTGAATTAATTAGTATAAAAGGTGGTAGCACGCATTTTTAAAAACTAAACTAAATATTAAATTATAATCTAGAACGAAACTTATAAAGGATTAACTTTAATAAAACTAAAGAAGTTTCGTCTGTTTTTTCAAGATATTTCTAACTTTTGAGATTAAAATATTTCAAAAAACTTTAATGGAAATAACTATTGTTTCAACGGCGTGTATCTAATCTTGTTACAACAATAGAAAAAAAGAGGAAAAACAGATATGAATACCACAAGCAATAATTTATAATTAAAAAATTCAAATGCAGCCACTCTCTCAAAATATATATGGCAAGCTAGAGAAAAACTCAAAGAAACACCATAATTAACTTTGTTTATCCTAAAAAAAACCCTGCTTACGAGCCGTTTTTTTTAAGAATCAGGCAAATTCCTAAAACTGTGGAAGTGACCTCGTCCAAATTGCTTGAATTTTCGATATATTGATCAGAATATAGAGAAAACCTGTTGGGGAAAAAGATTTATGCCCAGATTCCGAGTGAAAGAAAAATTCAAAAATGTTTCATTCACTCGGCATCTGGGCATAAATTTTTGAGATTTTTTTAAAAATTTTTAGAAATTTAGTTTTTGCCACCTTTAAACCCATTTTTTTGGCAAGGCAAAAAGTTGCACATAGCTTTGTACTTAATATCAGAAGTAACCCAAAAGCTCACTCCAAAAAATATAAAAAAGTTGCGTGACACTGTGCGGTTGGCTAATTATTACAGTTCAAAAGTTCAAAATCAATCAGTTTTGTCAATTTTTAATCAGAGTTAATTCTAGCGGCGAAATGTTGCACACAATTTTTCTTTTAGGATTTGAAATTATCAAAGGTATTGAGTCTAAAAATGCAAAGAAAGTTATGTGATACCTAAGGCCTATTAATATATCAAGGCTTGAAATTGGAAAAAAATGTTTTAGTATCCTTACAAAATGAACCATTACGGCAGTGGCGCTTAGTTTTGTAAAAATGTAAACATATCTAACTGTCAATACAAAAAGGTCCTAACATAATAATAAAAAAAATTCGTGTGATTTTGTCACTCGCACGATATAACATTAATAAAAAACTGAACAAAAATCTAACATCAAGATAACTATAATGCTAATTAAATAAAACATAAATCAAACATTTAAATGTTTTTCCATTTAAAAATTAGTTTTTCATTTAATAATAGAGTCATTTACACACATTATCCACCACATCACACATAATTTCTACTCTGCTGCAGTAAGTTTCTCTAAGAATAATGATATGACTGTATTATAGTCTTCTTCGGATAATGAATAATCGCCACAAACACTGATTAGAAAAGGAGCATTTACTAAACAGATAACTTTATTAGTTTAGTTATTTATCTCCTCGGTAGTAACTGGCCAGCGAAAAGTATTCTTCTCTTGCCCGTTAATCATACAATTAACTCTGATCCCAGTTATAGATACCTAAAAGTATTAGCGCAACATTTAAAATAATATAATAAAGAGTTTATGATTTGTTTAATTTTGCTTACATTCAATAAAACTTGTAAAGTCTTATATAATGTCATTCTGAAATTATTTTTACATTTTATTTATATCCCTTTTATTTTAGAGCACTGTTTTGTAAAACAAAATAAAAACTTGAAACTAATATATACTTTGAATAATATTACCTCCACAATATATCCAATATTCCATTGTTTTTAATATGCAACAGCAACCCAATCATTCACTTTCCATACAAGAAAAATTTCTTTTGCAAGATTGGCGATGTCTTCCTCATATTTATTATCATCTTCATTGTCTCCTGTCAGATTAAAGTCATCATTTTCGCCATAAACTTCTTTGTTATCGTTAACCTGACTATTTTCATTATTTTCTGTTGTCGGTTCTACCAGCTTACCTTTTCTTTTCAGGTTACTAAATTTAGAATAATATCAATTGTACATATTTTTAAACATATATAAACAAACACACAAAATTATAACTTTCACCTAAATTTTAATTTCATATTTGTAAAAGAACTATTTAACAGTCAGAAACATAATCTAATTTGCAAACGTTTTGATAGCAACAATGCCTACCTTGAAAATAAAGATCTTATCTGTTGGCTAGTTACATATTGATCAGGCGGAAGTTCTCTCCTCAGCTGCATGTGAACCTGCTCAGGGCTCATTTTATTACCTGATTCTTCTCCACGAATAAAGTATTTATACAACAGTTCTTTCTGCTGATTTGAAAATCTAAAAGAACTTCAAACTGGTAATGCCCAACCTTGCAATAGAAAAATGTTCATGCAATGTGGTTTGTTATTTACGGAAGCACTGTTAGAGGATGAAGAAATTGGCATATTTAGTTGTGAAGTAATTTTCATCTTATGAACAAACGAGTTGCGAACTTTATCCAATGATGTTAATGATTTCGGAACAGTATGAAGACCGGATAGCATGTGTTCTTCTAACTCAGCATCGCTTTCAAATGATAAAGTACAATTCATTTCAGTGGAAAATTTTAATGAATATAATTGCCTGTCACTTTTTTTCTGTTTTTCCTTAAGTGACTAGTTACGCTTAATTGAATTATTTGTTTTGCTATATGGTAATAACTCATTTCATCGTAATAGCTCATTTTGTAAGTATACTATAACATTTTTTTCCAATTTCAAGCCTTAGTATATTAATAGGCCTTAGGTATCACCTAACTTTCTTTGCATTTTTAGAACCAATACCTTTGATAATTTCAAATCCTAAAAGAAAATTTGTGTGCAACACTTCGCCGCTAGAATTAACTCCGATCAAAAATTGACAAAACTGATTGATTTTGTACTTTTGAACTATGATAATTAGCCAACCGCACAGTGTCACGCAACTTTTTTATATTTTTTGGAGAGAGCTTTTGGGTTACGTCTGATATTAACTACAAAAACTATGTGCAACTTTTTGCCTTGCCGAAAAAATGGGTTCAAAGGTGGCAAAAACTAAATTTCTAAAAATTTTTAAAAAAATCTCAAAAATTTAAGCCCAGATTCCGAGTGAGCAAAACATTTTTGAAAATTTTTTTTTTCCCCAACAGGTTTTCTCTATATTCTGATCAATATATAAAAAATTCAAGCAATTTTGAGGAGGTTACTTCCATTGACTGCCTGATTCTTACAAAATATGACTCTTACAACAATACAACAACAAAAATGTTTTTTTTGTATAAAAAACTAATGTATTTACTTTATCAAAATGTTTTACAAATTTTTAAGAAAAAAAAAAGTTAATTTCCAAATGTCGTCACAAAAATAAGTTTCTGTTAAGAAACCACAAACATAAAAATTAGATAAACGTGGTTGTAACATTAGTTTTTTCCGTTTAGGTTCTCTCTTTTTGTTTTTAGGCAACTTATATATATACAGCTAAGGGGCTAAGATTTTAGAGTTTTTTTTTTCCCATTCTCCTATTACAGTATTTTTTTTTTTATAAGATTATTTTCGTCATATATACGAATGTAAAAAAATTTGGAATATTCTTGTTGTTTATAAGTTGGTTATTTTAAACATTTAAAAACCTTCCTTCGGCACTGTATATATATATATATATATATATATATATATATATATATATATATATATATATATATATATATATATATATATATATATATATATATATATATATATATATATAT